CGAAGTGCAGCGACTGCGATAGCGTTACGGGGCTTAAGTAAAGCAGCTGCCCGTGACACCAGGCCTCTTCTCGAGCTCAGTCGAAGGCTCAGACTCATGCCTCAGTTCCTCGGCTCAAGGGTTTTCATTCAACCTAGCACATTCCAGCAGGGCAAATGTGTGTTTGCCATTGCCCTCTGTTTCTGGAGCTGGCAGTGTCAATGCAAAAAGGTTTATGCAGAAACCACCTATGCGGCTGACTGGCTTCTCTCCTACCAACACGGTTTCTCCTGGCTATGAGGACAATGGATGCTTCGGCTGCTGCTCGCAGGAAGAAGCAGAAGCAGTTACAGGAAAGAGTGGCTGCAATTTTGCCCGAATATGCTCTTTACACACAGCTCCTTGAGTTTGAGTCCTGCGTGGACACTGCTCTCACAAGGAAGAAAATTGATATCCAATACTGAAGACTTCGTCATACATACTAAAATCGCATTCGTACTATTCCATTGACGTATTGGTGATACTTTCAAGCTTCATAAGTTATGGATTTGATATCTTGGTAGTGTGGCCATCTTATAGGTTGGTTTCAATAAAAGCTAAGGAAAAACTTATACCCCAAGTTGAGGAAATTAAAATTCAACTTGTTGAGCATAATCTTGAGATAAATAAGACGGATTGAGAGATTGTGGAGATTGACAAATATATAAGAAAAGCTTGATATTGTTAGATCATGCTAAAGAAATGACGAATCGTGAAATTACTTCTTTTGATCTAAATTGCACGAAATTAGTAAAAACATTAAAAAAATGTATTTTGCAATAAATGAGCTCAAGAATAACGATAAAATGATATCATGTATTGTATTCGATCACCTCAAGAAGCTTTACATGTATCTTATATTACTTAGAAGTTTAAAAGTCTTATAAGTCGCACGCGAGCAGCACAAGTATTGAAATTCTCAAATATTATTCTTAATGGACAAGAAGTAAATTATAAATTTTATCAATAAAAATAGAAGTATATAATAAGATAAAACTATAAGATAATTGTATGGAATTTCTGATCTCTGAAATTTTAAAGAGAGTAGTATAGATTTAATGATAACCTATTCAACGCTCATTCAGAAAGATTTGAAGTTGCAATTTAAATGTTCCTCAAAGCATTGTTAAGGACATTTAGAAGACTTGCAGGCTTAAAACTGTACAGATTTTATATTTTGAAAGTGGGTTGATTTCGATTGAAGATAGGCAGGAAAAGCAATTTGACCATGTTGAGAAAATTAAAAGTCAAATTGTCATGTACTGGAGATATATAAGTTGGATGAAGAGATTTTGGAGATCAATAAAAATATATGGAATTTACAAGAAAAGATTTTGCTCGTTAGATCAGCTAAAGAGACGAAGAATCATGAAATTGCTTCCTTCGAGTATAAAATGCAGGAAATTAATGAAATCATATAAAAGTTAGTGTTGACAATAAATGATATTGATCACAAAGCACGTGCATTGGCCCTAAAGTGTAAAAGTCTTATAGATCACAAGCGGGAAGCACTCGCGTTGAACTTATCAAACATTATTCTTAATGGATAAGGAAAATATTGGCCATGGGACCGCTAACTAGGTTGGTTCAATTAAAGTTAGGCAAGAAAAAGCTTATAGGCCAAGTTGAGGAAATTAAATGTCAACTTGTTGAGCACAATCTTGAGATAAATAAAATGTAACGAGATTGTGGAAATCAACAAATATCGAAGGAACTTATAAGAAAATATTTCAATTATTAGATCACCTAAAGGGACGATGAATCTTGAAATTGCTTCTTTGGAGTTTAAAGCGCATGAAATTAATGCAAGCATAAAAAAATGTCTATTAGTATTAACTGAGCTCTCGAGGTTAGTAATAAGACATAAATTAAGCTAAATGAACATAATACTTGACATAGGGGTTGACCAACCTCTCACATTGCATGTGGGTCCCGACCTGAATTAAATAATGTCGACCTCCTCCCACGTGTGTGTATTGTGTCAAGCATTATGTTTGTGTAGCAAAACTCCATAAGACAGTACCACATGTTGTACTTTGTTCACCTTAACAAGCTTTGTTAATAATTTATACCACTTAAAGATTAAGTCTTGTGGGTAGCACACAAAAAGAACACGCGTTGCACTTCTCAAAAAAACATAATGGAAAAGAAGTAAATTATAATTTTTGCTCGATAAAAGTAGAAGTCTATAAGAAGAAAAAACTATTAAGCTTATCTCTGAAATTTTAAAGAGAGTTTCGGTGAGGTTTAAGTACAGATGTTATGGTAATCTATTCAACACTCATTCAGAAAGATTTGAAGTTGCAATTTCTTGATCCTCAAATGACATTTAGGAGAATCTTACACTCTTAAAACAGTACGGATTTTATATTCCGAGAGTGTAGAAAACATATATTGAGATTATGGAGATCAACAAACATATATTGAAGTGAAGAAAACTACTTTCTGCTTTCTTTTGTTCCATTAGAACTGATTTTGTATCAGACAATTGGTGATTAAAACTAGCTTAGTGATGGCAAAAAAATTCATCGGGCACGGCCTGCCCCGCCCCGTAAAGAATAAAAAAAATTAATTAATTAACTATAAATGTTTAATTTTGGATATTGTTTGTTTTGAATGCTTGCTTTGGATATTGATGTAGTTAATTTGAACATTATTTGATTTGGATTTTAAAATTTCGAATTTGTAATTTCACTGGAAATTTTGGAAAAAAAAGGGGGGCAGAATCACGCCCCACCCGTTTAAGGCGGGGCGGGGCGGCCATTCGTCAAGGCACAGGAATCCGCTGGACATCTCAGC